GGGGGGGGGAGAGCATTGGTAAAAATAGCATCTAGCAAGCACCAAGAAAATCTGGTCAAAGCAATGATTCTGCTGAAGTACACTGAAAATATGGTTATGCGACATCCACGAAATGGAAACTAACTAGGAGAAAGAAGTCTAGAATATCCTCATCCATGAACATCACTTTTCTGCCTATGAACATGAATTAAATAACAGACAAAGACGAAAATATTTTGTGTCACATGATATCACAAGACAGTGAAAAAAAACAAAATCATAATAATAATGAGGAGAAGCATAATAATTTCGACCAGTCAGATAGAAAAACAGAAGCCTGAACGCTGGGCGTTCAGAAAGGTTAACAATTAACGCAGTAAGGAAGATATAGCAAGACAACAGCATGACAACGAAATCATGCTAGCCTAGAATAGTCTAAAGGTTGCTTTTAACAGACAGCCGATCCGTTGTCACCCGTCTGAAGACGATATGCCTGAATTACGAAAGATCATTATGAACATACATTGATACCTAACAGGCATCACTTACACGTATATGAAATAGAAAGCTTGAAAAACATGCATATAGAGGATTTTAAAAATCTTTCAGATCATCATTTTCACGTGGACTCCGTGCCCAATCTCGGAGCCCATCACTCTGAGATGTTTGGTTATTTTGTGAAAAGCTCTGTTTTCTTATTCAGTTTTAGTCAATCACTGAAAATTTATTATTACGTAAGAAATAACCCTAATATTCTGGAGTAACTGCCCATTGTCGCTCTCGACTTCGTAAATAATCATAAATTTCAATGCCTGATACCGGATATATTCGGCGTAAAAGCATCTCTCCTCGAGTCTAGTCGATAATGTGGGCCGTTGTAAAGGCTGTTAACTTGTAACATTTATTAACTTATGCAGCTTGCGTTGCTATGAGCAATCATAGTAATCGGTATTGTCTAAAATTCACCACATTTGTATAAATATGGATGATTGTTAATATGTAAACATTCTTTCAAGTACCACTGCGTAAGATTTTCAGAAATGAGCACCGTGAAGTATCGGTTGATGAGTATATTATTTTTCATTAACTCACTTCTTTCCTTTAGGCTTCATCGTACCTTCCCTCTTGAACAGTGTCGCATATGTTTACGAATCCCTCACAGATCTATTGTCCAAAGACAAGGCGGTGAGCATCAGCAGCACAAGGATCAGCTGCATGACCACAAATATGTACATATCTCTGTACACGTTCGGCGAGACTGCCAGTCCGTTGGTGCTGCTGCTGCTCTCGTTGGACCGGTGTCTGGCAATGCTTTCGCCGAAAGCCTATGCTCGTTTGACGCCGAGGGCGGCCGCCGTTTGTATATTCCTGGTGTACACATGCTCACTGATCGAAGTAACTGCCCTCTGGATCAAGTCAAGATGGAACGACCATATCTCTTTGGTCTCCAGCCGATGCAGCCACATCGAGACCATCGGTCTGTCCAGCTACAGAGTTCACGTGATAGGCATCATTGTGTCCGGCATAGTGAGCATAATCTTTTCCGTGACGTCACTGGCCGTCATGAGGTGGCGAATCAAATCCACTCGGAACGAGATTTTGCGTTTTGTTCAGATGCGCAGAGAGCCTACGATAACGCGCCGAATCGCGGTACTGGTAACAGCGGCGTTCTTGCTCCAAGTACTTCCAATGACCGTGTTTCTGATTCACCTTGACGGATCCATGCTGGCCGGAATTGAAAACTTCATTTGGCTTCCGTACATTTCCAGTCTGATCTTCAACACGATGTGGTGCGCCTTCCGCCAGAAGGAACTAAAACTGGCTATAAAGCGGATGCTGAAAATTCCAATTGACCACTTGTGCTTTTGTCTGTCGAAGGTTGCTTGATTTGTTCCGTCATATAAAACTCCCGCACCTCTGAAAGCTCAGCGATCAGACCTCAGAACCGGATCAGTGAGTGAGTGAGTGAACAGTCAGACGAAGAACTGATGAAACTGCATAATTCATCTTCTTTGGAGATGACAGTTTCAGAGCAGGTTGCAAAACAGACGTGTTGTGGGAGGGGAATAGGCTTTGCTATTTCTATCACAGTATTCCTGTACACCGAGTGACGTCGGAGATACCCTTGCTTTAAGGTCAAACTTTATTGAATGCAAATCAGATTGTACAAGTTCCGTTCAGTGAAAAGATTATGCAATGTTACTATCGTTAGAAACTTCGTTTAATCGAGCAAACAGATTTCATCAATACCCTAAAAGATTGCAAACAAATGACATTAGCTTATGCTTAGTGGGTAGTTGCTGCAAGAAATCTCGACTTGCTCCAACGGGACAACCTCTGTATCTACCTAGTGAATTCCCCATTCATTCATCGACTATAAACAGTAGAGAGTACAATAGATTCCACAAAAACATGAAAACAATCCTACCGTGTCAGTCCAATTTAGTGCAATGTTCTTAAAAATGCGTCAATAACGTTTCCAGAAAAACTGCTGATGTTTGTAAACGTTAGAAATCTTCGATAACCGGATAATGTCAGCAAAAAGAAGCACGGAAGTCGACGATAGCCGCAAGTAGAACCAGTGGACGATCAAGATTAACCTGGGGCCTATTGCATGAGATCCGGTCATAGGTTTTTTCTAGATCAACAAAACACATCTACACCGCACGGGCGTACTCCGACGACTTCTCAACAATCTGGCGCAGGGCAAATATATGGTTAGAAGTGCTTCGACTGGGCCGGAAGCCACATTGCTCTTCTTGTGTCTTGAGGTCAGTAAGTTCGCTGCATCTTCTTCCTAGCACCTTTGCGTAGACTTTACCTGGCAGGCTTAATAACATAATGCCCCTATATTTGGAGCATTCCCTGTGGTCTCCCTTCGGGTACAATAACTTCCGTTCTCCGGTCCGGTGCTGTCTTTCCCGCAGTCATCGCAGTTTGACACACAAGTGTAAGCCAGCACATGCCTTGTTCGCCTATTGATTTGAGCATTTCAGAGCGGATTTCGTCAATTCCAGCAGCCTTTCCATTTTTCAAGCTTTTCACAGCTTGTGAAATTTCATCTACAGAGATACTGATATCCGTTCCAAACTCCTATACAGACGAATCTTGCTGCAGGTGCGCGGAATTAAGGAGTCCCTGAAATTATTCCTTTATCGCCGAAGAATGTCATCATCTTTGGTAAGAGGGTGTCCAGACCTGTCCTTCAAGACTCTGAGACTGCCTTTCTTTCCACCTTGGAACTGGCAGATGGTCTGCCAGAATACTTTCTTTGTCGTATAGAACCTGGACTCCAACACCTCGCCGAACTTCTCCCGGGAATCAGCTTTGGCTCTCGCCACTGCTTTCGCTGCCGCTTTGCGTGCCTCGACATATCGCATGCGAGTAGAATGCTGTTTCTTTACAAGCCATTTCTTGAACGCTGCTTTCTTCTATTTAACTGTCAGTTGTACCTCTCGTGTCCACCATGAAAATCTTTTCTGACCCCCAGGCGGCAGGCCAACCCGTTTAAATTCGCAGCATTCGGCGGCAGCCTAGAGTAGGCTGCTCGGAAAGAGCTGCTACTCGGTTCCGAATCAGTGGTCATTCCCGGGATCTGTTTAAACCGTCGTGCGATGTTGTTTGCAAACTTCGCTCTCGTGTCCGCCGAAGATAATGCTTCCCATTTGATTCCCTGGTTGCTTTTGCCTTTCGATCCTCGCATTGCACTTATTTCTTACAGCGTAGAGTGATCGGTTGATAACAATAAGGTGATGATCAGTTGATAGCTCTGCGCCTCTTTTAATGCAAACATCCATTACTGAGCGTTTGAAGTTAGACGATGCGATTATCAAATCGATCATCGACTTCTGTGCACAAGCTTCCCGGTACCTGGTATTCTGATGCACCCTTTGATGCTTGAAGAAGGTGCGCATAATGGACAGTCTATTGCTTAAACAAAACCACAGCAACTTCAAGTCGTTATTGTTGATGTCTCTAGAGCAGTTTTTTCCAATTACACCGTTGCACTTTTCAAGGTCTACTCCGACATGCGCATTGAAATCGCCCGTGAGTATGAGGAACATTGCATTCGGCACTTCGGACAGAAAACATTCCACTTCTTCAAGAGGGGAATCATATTCTGCCTCCAAATTTGGCGAACAGACCTGTACTAAGGTGATCGCTTTAGCGAATTGTAACTTCAGAGAGAGGATTTCCACTGTTGCGCAGATAGGCTTCGATTCAATGATTCTCTTCGCCAAGTCGGGTTCTACGGGAACACGAGCACCGGCTCGAGCGCAATTTACGATGTTTACACCTGAGTTGCATACCTTCCACCCGCTGAAGTTCAGAAATTCTGGACCCTTACTGCTTCGTTGACGAGCCTTCAACTGTTTCGAACTTGTGCCCTTGCGGTTTCATCAAGTAGGTCATGCTCTTTTCTTCTGAGTTAGGATATGCTCCTCGAACTGTCTATTTCTTCCGTTCAGAACGGGTAGCCACTCAGTTGCTGATAAATATTTCTTTTTACTGTGCAGCAATACGTCGACTACAAGACTCGGTTTTCACTGGAATGATTTTAGCACTTTGCAAATACACTGAAGCATAAATCGGGAGCAACAGTTGTCAGTTATCGCGGTTGACGCCGGAAGCACACTGGGAACTGAGCGAACAAAAGACTAGTCAGTAACGCCTAGACCGTTAAATAGATTTTTTTACTGTTTACGTTTGATAGTCATCTTAACCATGTATCAAGAAAAGTTTTATGATGCAATATATGCCAAAGACCTAAAATTCTTCCATAAGTCATTTTTTGGCAGTTTAATTTGTTTCTTGTCAGAAATTTGGTATCCGCTTTATGCTGACCGTCACGTCAGCCACAAGATGAGTTGATGCAATGTTCATCCACAAGGGGAAACTTGGCTATCATTTGGTTAATATGCATTTTTCACCTTAATTTGCGATTAGAATTACTTTAAAAATTGCAGAAATATTTTAACTGAGGAAAGACCTTAGTATTCCTCCTTCTGTAAATATTTATACTCTTTCGATGAATATTCTGATATTGTAAAACCTTTTACAGTGTACAGTGCCATTTGTATTTACGTAACTGTATGATCCTTATCTTACTGTAAAAATGGATTGAATAGTTTGGTCACTCGTTTCCTGTAAACGATTTTTTCGGCAGTTTTTCTGTATAATCTGTTTCCTCGTTCAGTTATAGGTTTTGTCTGAACAGTGCTCTTAATTATATATCGGCCATTGAATTATTTACATAGTTGTATAAAACGCTGTCTCATCGCTGTTAATTCTATGATTCCTTTCAAACCTAATTGTCCCTTTTTGTTTCTGTTCAGGTGTTTTCGGTAGTGTCTATTTTTTACACATTGTTCATTTTGAACGGTGAAACTTTTGTTCCGTATTTATTATCTACGGTACCTTTATTCGTATGTCTACCTTATGAGCTGTCGAAAACCGCGAGATTAGTTTTACGAAGAGTTGTTTAGTAGATACAGTTTTGTTTTATTACTGAAGTGAAATGATCTGGATGTTTACTGTGCTGCACCATCGATTTTAGTAATCGGAGAAGCAATATGATTTTATGAATATCTGAATCCTAAGGGCACGAACGAATCGCAGTCCTAGTGATTAATGCGGAACTGCTGAAATACGATAGCAAATATCATACCCGCATAATACACATGATGAATCTTGATCAAAGAAGATTTGGAAACAAGTGTAATCATCTCAGTTTTTAAAACCATGAGTCGTGTCGACTGCATAAATTATCGAGAAGTCACCATTTTGTCTATGCAGATGAAGATGTTAGCGCGGATCATATCTGGAAGTTTGAAAGAAGCCACTGATTGCTCGAAGAATTCACTCAGACTTCTGGCATGGACTCTCGTGCACGTAAAATGTTGTTCTGTTAATGCGAGTCTTAGAGCACTGTAGATGACGAGGAGGGCTTCTAGCTTCTTAACTTTTGGGCATATTTCGATTAACTTTATCACCGGCGCATGCTATTCAATGGAATATGGAGTTTCCATATGACGATTTACCTACCAGAATGTGTATTAGGGGCGAAACGCACAGTTCGAACTGAAGGGTAACTGCAGAGCTGATTCAGCATTCGCAGTGAAATTTGTTGAGAACAGTTGCTTTCTTCTTTTATTCGGTGTTATCACGGATTGTAAGATGAAGAACGTCGTCATCCCAAAGAATAACGAGGAACTGGTCTTCATTCGGTGGCGTAACTCATGGTACTCTTCAGTATTTCTCCCAGATGTTGAAAATGCGGATGTCATTGCGCTGCTTAGTAACTCCGCAAATGGTGTGTTGAGGTAAGTTTATCAGATGCAAGTGCGGCACTACTGTGGAAATGAGATTACTAGCCAGTAAAACCAAGCAGAAGTTATGAGAGCAGTTGAAGGAAGCAGTGCAATGATTGAGTGATAGCAGATGTGAACCATTTCCGGAACCCCGGAGCCCTCGGAGCAGTACTGATTCTTGACTAAATTGCGCTATTTTAACCAGAGGCAGATTTAATCGTCGTAAAATTTTAGATTATTAAATCCGCACAAATTCTGTTAGCTTTGCCTATTTGTCTTTCTATCTTTTTTCTAAACTAATTCGTGTTTGTAGTGCTAACAAAATGTCAAACGTCGATGAGGAATTGGAAAGTTTATCACACGATGTCTTTCACCCCGAAGCACTGGCTGAAATCGCTCGGGCTAAGGAGAAAAACCCGAGCATGTTCGTTTCAGGTTGGATCGAAGACGACGATGCCGGAGTGACGGAGGCTACCGACATAGACGGTATGCTTTGTCGACGGTGTTGCCGTGCAAGGTGCTGACCAGATGCTTGTAGAAAACCCGATAAGCAGATTATTATGGGCCTCAGAACATGGAAAGCGTCGAATAATCCGGCAAATTTTGGCTGACGATCCTTCGCTGATCAACGTTCAGGATCGCGACGGCTACACGCCGTTGCACAGAGCCTCTTACAATGATTTCCCTAAAACAATTCAGGTATACCTAGAAGGTATAATTTTTAAAGCCTTTGATTTTAAAATATTCGTTTCGTTTCTCCGTCCCGTATTGTTCATCTCCGTCTTTTCCTAGGCGTGTTCCCTTTAACAGGGGTCCACTTTTTGAGTTTTCCACTGCCTTCGCACCTTTCGGTCGTTGGTCAAGTCTTTCGTCACTGCTCGTAGTTTCGACACCACGCCACCTTTGCATTGGTCTTCTCTTTTTTCCCTAGCAGCACCATAGGTTAGACTACATTTCTAACAGGTGGAGTCTTTTCTTCACGTGTTCGAAGGAACAGTCGGCTTTCGATCAACTTTACTGAAATTGGTGTTACAACCAAGGTGACTCTTATGAAGATATTCCGGATGTTGTCCTTTTCACTGTCCCTGTACATTCATCTAAGTATTCGCATTTCTGTTGAGTTAGGCTGTTGCTCGGGTCTCTTCAGTGTAGCGGAACATTGCAGTCGTACAGCAGAACCGGTCTTACTGTCGTTGTATGCACTTTTCCCTGTTGGTTGATGTGATTTACTTATCGACAGTATGCCGCTCTCCGCCCGTTTGAGCCACGCTTTGTTTGACCGCTTTCTAAATTCACTCATTTTCTGTTTGTCTTTAAAAGTGGAAGCAGGATACTTGGGTGTTTAATTCCTGGGTTTGAGGCAACTTACTTACGTTTATGTCTCCTATTCGTTTGCTTTCTATCTGTTCTCCCCACTAAATAGGTCTCGCCATGTATTCTACCTTGACTTTGCTGATCCGAGGGCTGTTCTTCTTAAGAATTGTTTTCCATACTTCATATTTTGCTTATCTGTGCTCAACTGTTAGAGCATATGATATGACGCTCATTCCTATACATCTTCCGTTATTGCTTCTGCCGCTGTAGAGAACATAAATGGTCTAACTGTTAAGCCTTTATGGGCTCATACTCGCACTGGGAATTCTTTTGTTTCGCCATGTGTATCAAATTATTGTTGTCACTCTATCGTACATAGCTTTGGTAAGCCTAACTTATCTTTCTGACAGTAGCTTCTTTCTCATGCACCATTGATTTTTCTGCCCTGATATTCCATCAAAGGAATATCATCTGAAAATCATTGCTGCCCTTTCTGCTTTATATTTTGTGCCTTCTCTGCTTGTGTTATTCATGTAGTATATGATTAATATTACATTGTTTCATTATCGCTTAAAGATTATATCGGCATATATTATATTCTGTGATTAATAACATATTTGGAACAACGGTTCAAAATTTTTCATTTTAAATGACAATCCAAAATCATGGAGATTCGAATTGATAAACAGTTTCAGCGGCTATATATTATCATCAGATCTTGCTACGGGAAGAACTCAGTACGGCTTCTATGAAAACAGCTGATGAAATAGTAACAGAATAGCCCTATTAACCGTGTAATACGGACAGCAAAAATCAACAGTGTAAAAAAAATTATTTTCCCGTGTACGGGATGTCTCTATAGCGCAATTTTCCTCTGTTCTTATGCGTAACAACAAACAGTTCGTTTCAGGGTCACAAGATGACTGATGCTTGGAGCGTTGAAAACATGAGATTTTAAGCAGCTCCGCGTTTGGATAATTTAAGTTACTGAAAAAATGGGATTTGCAGTGCAAATATGGAAAACTTGCATTGAACTGCTCCTGATTAGCTCCTTTGCTTTGAGCATGTGCAAGAGATTGGGAGGACTACATTGGAAATGGTTCATCTTTGTCGATTTATTGTTCAGTTGTTTCATAGACGATGCAGATCACAATATCTGAGCTATTCGCTGTTGCGTCATTACTGCTTCCAAGCCACAGCAGTTCTTTCATAATGGGATTTTTTTCTCTGATTGGCAGTCGACCTCTGATTTGTTTCACTAGCGTTGGATACCAGTCGGTTACAGCTGACGCCGACCTGTTGTTCAACTCATTTAGTTTTCTCCCCCTTGCCTCCAGCGCAACGTCGTTCACTCCATCATCTGACGGACCCATTCATTTATTATTCGGTCTTTTGTTGAAATTTCCCTGCATTCTTCTTTCTCTGGCTCGCTGAATGACAGCAGATTGCACTGTCGCATGGGAATGCAGGAATTACGGTGACGATGAGTAGCTGACTTTGTTGAATTTTACCATCGAA